ATATACCATACCTACATATATAACTGATTTGCTGGTTAAACTAGTTAATCATATGTTAACAAATTGGCAGAAGTAATCATTAAACGTACATACGTTTTTATTATACATACTAAACATTTTTACAGTTAATTTAAAAAATGTCTATTATAAGAATTGATACAAATGTTTCACATTTGGACATTGATGACACATTTTTAGTGCAAACTACGGAAGCTCTTGCCAAAACTTTACAGAAACCGAAATCTGTAAGTACATMATCTTTTTTTATGAGAAAATATATAGTTTTAATTGAGTAGGTATCTATTTGAAATGTAACAATTTAATACAATAATTCAATATCTGATACCTACAAAATATATTAATACAACAAAAATGAAATGGTAAAATTTAATAATTATTTTTAGGATATTTTAGCATTTGTTAATGGAGAYCAACCTATTCTTATTGCTGGTTCTTCAGAACCAGCAGTAATAGTATCATTACTCAGTGTAGGTGGTATAAATGAAATTGATAACAAACTCCATTCGGCTGCATTGTTTTCATTGATTACAAAATATCTAAAAATAAATGAAAATAGGTGAGTAGTATAAAATATTAATCTTTTGTAATGTGTATGTATTTAGTAAAAATATAATCAAAAACATCCAAAAATATAATATAAGTACTCTTTAAGTCTTAAGTATGTATGTAGAAATAGATATTTATTTTACGCTGTGGCTAGAGACCCGGACACCGGGTATATAATGCGTAAAAATTTAAAATTATATYCCCGGACATGATATGCGCATGCGCGGGGATTTCTGCACAGAATATAATCATTTTTGCGCGACGTTATCACTGTTATCAGTTATCAGATTTAAATAAATTTAATTGATATTGAATACCTAATTATTAATTTACAACACAATTTAAGATATCTTGGATAACCTMACCGTCCTAACCTATGCGACTGTCATGCAAAATGCAAGATGCATATATGATAATATATTAAAATGATAAATGCATGCTTTGGCGCTTTGCCATCTTTTAACGGAACAAATAACAAGACTTAAGACTTTTACAATTG